GGTGCGGGGAGCCTGGTGTGTGGGGAGGTGCAAAGGGTGCAGTATGGGTGGGGTGCAGGATTGCAGCTGCGCGGGTCGGGGATCAGAGGTAGATTGAGATGAGATCAGGAGGGTTGTCAAGATGTGTGTATTCGGGGGTTGGGCGAGACAGACAGAAGACAAGCATATGCCGCCGCTCTTTGTGTGGTGGGCATACGAGGGTCGGGTGCCATTGCAGGCTGGGTCGAGTGTGGGGTGACCCGTCGAGCCAATGGCAGCGGGTGTTGGGGCTGAAGGCTCTGGCTCGGGCCGGGCGGATTGCGCCCGCATGCGCAGTGCATCACCATGGGCCCTGAGAACGGGCTGTCCAGTGCCACGGACAGATCTGCGGCGTGACCGGCCGCAGCGCTGCGGTGCCGCGTGCTCTCACCGGCGGAGGGACCTTCTCGATGCAACCCTGCTGTGCGAATGCGCGCTCCTGGGCAGCCACCAGGGTCGCACACGCGAGCACCGCGAGCGCGAGGCCGTTCCTCAGAATGATGGCGTTCTTCATGTTGTCGGGAGGCGGCACAGCCTGAGTGTTTGCATTCAATGATTTTCAAGCGTTTTGGTGTATACCTATGGCTGCGATCGGAGCAGAATAACCAGCTGCTGTCGACAGTTGGCCTCCTGACTGCCACCTCTGCGTGCACCCCGTCCACCTCTTTGATTGGGCGCGAAAGATTTCAGAGTTGAATTTAGACAAATTCGCTAGCTAAGTCACCCGTAATGACATGCGAGTACGGTAGTGACACTGCATTTTTGCTTGGGGGCTGCCAACTGAAATCCCGTGCGCAACGGACCGCTGTCCCTCCAATGCAGCAACTGTTTGGCACATGATTATGACAACATCTGCAAGAGGGCAGGCAGCCCTCCTCAAAGATGGCGGATAAGGCGGCCGCGCCGTTGGGCGTAGTGGGCAGTTCGCATGGTGGAGATGCCAGGCACTGGCCTACTCATCCCAAACCGTGGTATCTGTCATCACATTGGCACGCTTTGAGTACTCTGCGGCTCGCCGCACACTTGCCACTGCACACCTCCGGTGACGGCTGAGTGCAACTCCAGAGGTGGTTGAGGTGGGCTTACATTCACTCAGTACCGCTCAAAAGCATGCAATATCCTGGCTGCAGAGTGTCGTGGCAGTTGCCATGCAATTTGCGGCTGCGGCCTCGCACCCGGCCTGGCGGCTCTACCCCACTTGCTTCAGAGCCGCAGGCGGTCAGATTGAATTGAGGCAAGCCTTGCTAGCCGCAGCCCAGCCTTGCGCACCGGCGCGAAGGCCCCCTGCACGCGCGGCCGGGAAAGGGCAGGGGCGCGAGCCCGCCGCCCACCGCAAAGGCTGGTGCCCACGTAGCAGGCCGCGCTTTCGAGCAGTCAGATATGATGGGTTTTTCGACATTTGATGGGGCGCTTGATAGCAAGTAATCGTGGCGTACTTTGATGTCATGTTCCTGTGATTGCATCACAGCACCCTGTATGCGAGGGCTGTGAGGTATTGGCCCTCGGGGTAGGCCGGGTTGAGGGGGTGGTCGGGTGCCGCGCCAGACTTGCGCAGCAGCGTCACCTGGTGGGAGGGGCGGAGGGTGCATGTGTGTGTGTGTGTGTGTGTGTGTGTGTGTGTGTGTGTGTGTGTGTGTGTGTGTGTGTGTGTGTGTGTGTATGTGTATGTTTGTTGGTGTGTGTGCATCGGAGTGTGAGCGCGTGTTTTTGTGTGTCGAGTGTATTTTGAACGTGTTGGCCAATGAACGCAACCAACGCGGCTGCTGCGGCTGGTGTTCTGGCGGCGGCGCTGGCGAGGGGCGGGTGGTTGGCACGCCCGGGCTGCGCCCGCGCACCTGGCGCTCCGCCTCCCTGGCAGCTTCCTCCACAATTGCGGGCAGGCCGCCGCTCTGAGTCATGGCCCCGCTGCGCACGTTGGCCACACACAGAGTGGGGAGGGGGCGGGGGGCGATGGTCGGCGGTTGGTGGCATCGTGACGCGTGCGTTAGGGTACATGCCAAGGCGCCGGCGCGAGCATCATCCTGAAACACACACCCCCAAAAAAACCAACAAAGAAATCCTCAAAAGTATCCAATGGGCCGCAGCTGCTCTGGCAAGCGTAAACGGGGAGAGGGGGGTATCGTGCGGGGTCGGCCCCAGCCGATGTGGACCAAAACCATTGCGCGTCAAAACTCCTGTGCCCCAAAACCATTGCGCCCCGGAAATCTTGTGCCCCGCACCTGCAGCTGCAGGTCATGAGGACGCCCCCCGGCTTGACCAGCGCCAGCGCCAGGGCGTTGAGCTTCCGGTACTTATTGGAGGCCGGCCGCAGTGACGCCCTGGCAGGGGTGTGTGTGTGTGTGTGTCGCAGGGTTGACGGATGTTATGACGGCGGTTGATGATGTTCGTGGCGGTTGGAGCGGTTGCTGATGAGGACGGGCCCTAGCGTCTGCTCTGATGCGAATCGATGGTTCACGGATGTAGTGGGGGCCACGGCCGCAGGGTATTGCTGTTGGTGAGCCGCATGATCTGCGAGCACAAGATCCGGATCGCAACCAGATCAACAGGTCATCAGATTGCACCTGTTGGGCGCCAGCTTCGGGGGGTCGAGCACCACCACGTCCCACGCGTCCCCGCGCTCCACCGCCGCCCGCATGAACGCGCTGACGTCATCTTTGAAGAACTCCACGCGCCCCTCCAGCCCATTGGCGCGCGCGTTGGCGGCCGCCAGCGCGACGGCGGGGCCGGACGAGTCGACACCTGCGGGGCGCGCGCGTGCGGGGTGCGGCGGGGCCGTGGCCGTGGGACGCGGTGAATGTACACAACATCAAAAGTGATCAAAACAGGGTATTTGGCCGGCCGCTGTCAATGCTGCGTGCGACGCGCGTTTTTTTAGTGCGAGCTGCAAGGAACACAGGGCCCAGTGCGGTGTAGGGACCGGAAGGTTCGCCGGTGGACGCGCACCGATCGCCGAGGCGGCGCCGGCCGCGGCGGCGGTGAGCGCGAAGCCGCCCGAGTAGCAGCACAGGTCGAGCACCGAGCGGCCGGCGGAGATGGAGGCGATGAATCTGCGGTTGTCGCGCTGGTCAGCGTAGAAGCCTGCGGATTCCGGCCGGCGGTTGGCGAGCAGGAATGCGGCAGGGCAAGAGGGGTTAGTGAGGGCGGGCGGCGGGTGGGGCGGCGGCGCAGCATTTGCGGCAGACGGGCTGCAGCGACGATTAAGTGGCCAAGGGGAGGCTGCTGCAGCCCTCCCCGCCGCCTCCCGCCCGCACTGGTGCGAATCGAACCCCATGTATCGCCCCCATGCCCGCCTCCCCCTCCCGCACACGCCTCTGTACCCCCAGCCAACGGATTAGTCAAATGACATCAAGCCCCCTCACCCGTCTTCTGCCCCTTCTCAGGCGCCGCCAAGAACACCACTCCGTCCTCCAGCACAGGCACCGCCCCCTCAGCTGTCGCGTCCACAGGGTCTGCCCCCTCGCCTTCCGACGCCACCTCAGCAACCTCATCCTCCCCCACGATCTCCTCGCCGCTGCTGACCGCCCGGCTGCCGTCAGGGCCGCCCTCCCCTTCTGAAGTGTCCTCGGACGCGGCGCGCGCCGCCGCCGCGAGCCGCTGCCGGCGCTGCAGCTGCTGCTGCAGCTGAGCTGGCGGCGGCGGCGGCTCCTCGACTTCCACGCCCTCCTCCCTGAGGATGGAGACGGCCTGGCGCCACACGACGCGAGAGCAGCCTGAGTGGCGCTGGATGGCGGCGATCACCGCCGGCTTGAAGCGCTCCGACCAGGCCGCACAGGACTGCGCGTTCACAACAGCAGCGGGTTGGGAGTTGCAGAATGTGGAAGAGCCGTGGGTGGTGCGGGTGGGGGAGGGGCCAAAGGGGAAGAGGGTGCGCCTGGCCCCTTGCGTGAATGTGGAATTGTTGGTTGCTGGGCTTGGGAGCGAATGAATGGGAGGAGACGGGAAGGAAATGCCGTGCATGCGGACGGTGACGCACGCCAAAGCGCTATGTTCGCTTTGAGCTCGCCGCCGGCCACGGCTGCGCAACGGCCCGTGATCGCCGCTGCGACGCCGGCCGCGATATTCCAGCGAACCCCAAACGTGGCCTCCCCTGGTGCGCCCAGCAAATCCTTCATGCGCCCGGCTTGACCCCCACACACCCTATGCACCCCGTAACACCCAAACCCCCCCCCACCTGCCCCAGTGCCTCCTCCAACCCGCACCCACCCCATCCCCCAAACACATCA